AAACTGGACTTGAATAATACAATGACATAGGAAATGATAAAAAGGAAACTCCTCTCAGAAAGAAAGTCCATTATGTCAGTGAGCCTGTCACTGGAGAAACATGAACTTCGGAGCCACCACAGAGATACCATTACGAAAACTGCAGTGCTCAGAGGATGTACAAGACAGTCACAGCAGCCAGAATTCTAGATGCCAGTTGTGCATTGTGGAGACACTAGAAAGCAGAGGATTAAGTACGGGTAAGTCATCAAGAAGTGTGTAGTCATAGAAGACAAAAAGTAGTTTAAAGTTTAACCAGTAGCACTATTAACTGGCTGAGGAATGTGTCCTCTCTCACACTACTTGGAGCTTTTTCAAGTCTTTCTTATGAGAACTATAATTTATCTAACACTGCAGTTCATGGTAAAATTAATAACAACAAGGAGAAAAAAAAGCAGGTCTGCGGGTTTGGAGGGGGGCGTGTTTTGGTTTTAGCTGGGACCTAAATTTCATGTTTCACTGACTTAGATACAATAAGAAAGTTAATACACCCACAGCCTTAAACTATTGCATGTACATATACCTTCTGCAAACACAGAGATGGACCATGACTCAAGTCTTTCTTTAGAGTCATCTCCCCATCATAGCAGCATTACCAAGCTAATACAAGATGATACATTTAGCAGGACATGAAAAGGTCAACATACTTACAGGCAAGGGAGCAGGAAAGATAACGTGAAAGCTACGGGAATGGTCTTTAAATGGTAACTCAAAGTCTCAGAAATACGGCAACATACTCAGTCTCAGAAATAAAATGGACCAAGTTATGGGGACATTTTTCAAGCCTCATGAGAAAGGCTTAAAAACTTTGAGAGACCTTGAGCTCCAGCTTGGAGCAGCCTCAAGAGTTGGCAGCCTCAAACACATAAAACAAACAATAGAAAATCACTACATTTCTGTGAACAAGACACAGAGTTTGAAATTCATGAACTAATAATTCTGTTTCTCATGGTAAAATCCACATTCCCCTTTCCTCCACTGTTTATCGAACTGCTTTCCCACCCAGCTTTTTGGCTGCTAGACACATCACAAGAAACACTATTTTTATATACAAATTGCTCTATATTTCCCAAGAAATCATCTTTCCAGAGCAATGGAGCTAAAGGCTAAAATAAAAGACACTGGTTACAGGAAACTGATTATCATAAACAGTATCTTGATGAGTTCAATACAAATACATCAAGAATTTGTTTGACTACTGAATCTTAGGCTAAAGAGGCAGAATGATAACAAGGTTCCCAATCTAAATTTTTCTGGTACAGTATGTGTTCCACTTCAGGACTCCATGTCCATGCAATGGTACACCACATCGGTATCACCACAAACTGGAAAGCTAGCAGGTTAGACACTGTACGAATAGCTACCTTTCAACTGAAGAGTCCACAGAAACTTGACGTTATTCTTCCTCTTCACTTCTAATTCCAGAAACTAGAAATCTCCTCTTTCAGACCATGTTCAGAATAATGATTGAAGGATAAAACCAGACTAATATTTAAAAAAAAAAAAAAAAAAAAAAAATAAAAAAAAAAAAAAAAAAAAAAGAAAGGTGGGGGAGTGGTGGACTTTCTTGACCTTCCGGTCTTTATAATATAGTCTATTAGATATAATGCTTCATAAGAGTGCCATCATACAAAAAGAAAAAGATTCTAAATTTATCATTTCCTTTCATTACTGAAACACAAATATTTTCCCTTGGACTTCTCCCTTATGTCCAGCAGAGGGTAGTAAAGAAACAGCTTTGTGAACTCCAAAAAAAGTTCATCCTCATTGCATATCAAGAAGTAGTGTATAACAAAAGATCATAAGATTGCCTTTTAATTAGAACTACACTGCTCTTCACACAAATCAGCTTAAGAAGTTCGCTGCCATCATCAAGAAGTACACATTTTCTAACCAAATGCCCATTAACACAAGCTACTCTGCATAGAAATTGAAATAAGACATCTGCTGTGTCCATCTTCCCACAAAAACCAAATTTCTATCTATAAGCTAAAAATTCCATGAAGCAGGATAAAGAAATATAGGGCTATTTCATGAAAAAATGTAGACCGTTCCGTCTGGGGTGTACTACTTTAAGGCTTCCATATCTGAATGGAAAACCATCTCAAATACTGACATCATAGAGGCAAAAATAAGAGTTGTATTTAACCACAGGTGGAAGTACAGGACTGGTTATCAGAACTTTATCCATATTTCTAACACGGGTAATCCTTATTCCCATACATTGAGGAGTTTTAAATTGAGAGCTAGAACACCACAGAACTATGTGAGAGTAATACCAGATGGGCAGAAACACAAGGAGAATTTGGCACGTTGGCACACAGTGAAAACTACTGCTCAGGCTTTAGTGCCCTTCTTTAACACCTCGTCCACAATGTATGGGAAGAATTTGGCAACTAAGAATGTGATCCACAGAAGCTAGCATGCTAGTGAGGCAGCTGTTAAGGCAGAGAGTAGGAAATTCTATGGACAGCAATGTGCTTAAATCCCAACAATCTCCAGGCTTCACAGAAGCAGTTCCTTCTACTTGGGAATGCAGCATGTCCTTTTATAAGGGCATAGTTGTTTCTGTCAAATACAATTAGAAAAGAAGATTGTGCTCATTTCCCCTCCTTTATGCAACAAGTCTGTCCTTGAACACTCCTCCATTTCCTTCCCTTACAGCCTCCAAGACCAAAGTTCCAATAACTGAGCTATAGAGGTGAAGAGCTGCTTATCTGGTCCCTTTGGTTGAGGTCTTTCCGCTCTGTTTCAGCATGAAGGACAGATAATACGTCTGCCTGATTGAGCTCCAGAAGGTAAGAGACAAAGAGGAATGACAAATTTATAAATCAAAGAAAGGTTGCAATTAGATTTCAAACTCTGTTAATACTAAACTGTTCCTCAGTATATAATTTTTTTGGGAAAGAATTAGGGGTCAGAGAGCAACTTAAAATAGATGTTATTAACCTCAATTTTGAACTTCAGAACCCCTGCAGCCTTTCATGACCACAGAAAAGGAAGAATAAATTTCACTCCACAAACGGCGATGAAGAGTACTGGTACCTTGTAAGATGCCAATGATGCTGTTGTCACAAACTCTGGAGTTTGAGTCCACTATCCAATATGAAGTCTACAGTAATCAATACTGTCTACAGTAATCAATATTGAAAGCTTAAAATATCTAGTGCTTTTGCTTCTTAAAGAATAAAGGTATTTTCAGAGATGCTCATTAATCTCTCTTTGACTGCAAGTATAGAATGGGTAGGTTATTATTGTGGGCCCTTTCGGACACTTACACACACGCAATTTACTTTTGAGATAGTAAAGTGAGATGCAAGCTGACTAAAGCATATGCATTGCAGTCTAACTTAGACTTTTTTTTTTTTAATTCACAGGGACTTGTGCTATTTGCTTAAACTTTTGAATGCAAGAGGTTTCATCACATACTTTCCTTAATCACTCTTTAAATAGCTATACTTACAACAAGTACCACAAGACCGATTTTTCTGTAGTAGGAAATTATGTTTTCTCACAACTTTACTAAGAGATTCAGTAAGTTAAATGAATTTAATAAAAATTAAGCAGCAATGAAAATATCTTAACTAACTGTGATTAATAAATAGCATTCCCTGATAAAACCATCCCCAGGGCATAGCAGTTACACATTTTCAAGGAACTGAGTGCTTCTTTTTCAAATTCACAAACGGTGAGTACACCAAATCAAATATTGAGAAAGATAAATAATTTGCTGCCTTGCTCCTCCACCTTTCAGCTCATGATTTCTATGTTAATATACTAAAAGCCATGAAGTCACAAAAAAAGCCCTTGTTCAAGTACTTGGAAACAAATATCTTGGGTTTTAAAAGGGCTATTGGAACTTCACAGTATGCAGAACGTTCCAACTGAAGGTAATTCTGCCTAGGCCAGTACGTGCAGCTCACAATACCTGACAATAGATTTCCTGTAGATATGTTTCAGGGCACAAAAGTCTACCTTGTTGGTCAATAAGTCAGTGTTTTTAGTTGATGCGCTTTGATCTTCCCTGTAGGAATTTTCTTTTGTACTTCATCTTTAATGCAGAGCTCTATCTACCTAGCAATCAATGCTTTAAACACTTCTTTTGCCTTTAAGGGAAAAATAACAGAGAACAAACACAGCTGAAAACTGTATGTCACTTACTCCTTTAAGGGCTACCCTGCAAGTGCCAATTCTTTAAATTTCGTTGCAGAAAATATTTAAAGATACCTTTGGTAGAAAGCTTACATCAGGATAAAGAGTCATCTGGTCACTATGCTTTTCTGCAGTGACAAAGGTTCTACCAAGAAAGTCTTGGTCCAGACTATACATACAGATAACATAGTAACGACAAAGCCTATCAGTGGACAAACAAAATGTTGAAACTTAGGAGAGAACTAGCGGTTTAGTAAAAGGAGCACATTTACAAGGTATTAGTCCTAAAGACTTGAGACTTCTCAGCAACCGGTGTCACTCAACAGGCAAACTAAAACTACCTGTAGCATTTAAGTCTAGATAGGAAGAGGCTGCCATAATACCACTGTGACATTCCAGTATGCTATTCTCTCTACCTAGCACAACATGTGGTGACTTTCTCAGCTCCAGTAGATTCTCCATCGCAAATTCACTAATTCTCAAAATCTGTTCTTAAGCCAAAAAGATAAGAAGATAGACAAATTAGGAGGTTAGGGAAAATGTACAGATTTCCTAAAGTAAAGTTAGCCTTGTTTTCACGCTTACATAAACCTTTTCCCATCTGCTGTTCAAACACCAGTCTCAAGTCAGGCAAACAGCGTAAGTGGCATTCGCCTGGTTCAGCCTTTTCTGCGAAACAGATGTTCAACATTTTGTTAACCCAGTACATAGAATTCAGAGCCTAACTGGGAGGTTCCATCCCTCAAAAACGAAATTGCTCAGAGTGTCAGTGCTTGTTGAGACTAATAGCAATAGTCAAAAAGCCTTACTTCAAGTTCTTTTTTAAGTCGCTCCTCTCGTTCAGCGCTGTATTCAAGCTCATTGGCCTGGTGCCTCAGCAGCTCAGTACATCCATTGTGTTCCACCTCCACATCTTTCATTTTCTTGCGTATATTTTGCAATGCATTATTCTGCTCCTAGAAAAAAATAAAGCATTAAGAGATGCTTTTACTAAGATAAAATATTATAGTAAAGAGTTCAAAAGAGGAATACCTTGTGAAGGGAGACTGCATTAGAACAGGTCATTAAAATCTAACACGTTAGCACAAGTCAACAGAACCATTTACCCAACAACAGATATGCTCTTCATTCACCACCAGGTAAAATGAATTGAACCAATGTATTGGTTCAAAAATCACTATCAACATGACCTTCTGCGGTAATACTAAAATCAGAGCCAACTCCCCACAGGAAATCTTACTGTCTAAAGAGTACAAGGCTGCTCTTCCAATCTCTTGTCTCCCTCAGCTCAATGGCAATGATGGAGAGGGAAACAGTTAAGTACATTTGATGAAATGATACATAGGGACAGAAGTTCTGTTTTTAATTGTTAGAACTTGAAATCAAATCAGACATTTTTAGAAATAGTTACTCCCACAGACTAAGTAATCTTCATTTCTGCTGTTCTGAGAAAGACTTTCTTGTCTAGAAACTGAGTTACTTTATAAAATGATCTCCAAGAACTACGAAGTTCTCAATGCAACAAAATAACCAAGCTGCTCCCCACTTCAATTTCTGCGTTCAGAAGTTGAACCAAGCTACAGGCTGGGATAATTACTAACACCACTGGCCTCAGCAGCTCTGTGGAGTCACTGTTACAAAATCCACATTCACACCACACCAGGCTCGGAGGAAAGTAGCCAAATAATGAACCCCCAGTAGTCTAGCACATACTTAAGCTGGAGATCCCAGAAGTCTCAGAAAGAATAGCTTTGGTCTAGTGGACAGGAATAAGCTTTTCCGTAACTAGCATCAGAAACAAGCTATAAATCCAGTGATTTAGTTGGAGGACCTTTGGAGACCCAATTTGTTAAAATGACTTTCTGTGCAAAACACAGAAAGATTACAGTAAGTCCTCCTGTTCATTTACTCCAATATAATGGCAAGAGACCTTTTGTGAAAATAAACCAGTTGGTCTGCAAATTCTGCTATTACCCTTACATCACATAATCTTGTTCCTAGAAATTACTAATCATAAGGCATCTGCAGAGCAGGGAGGAGAGGAAGAGGAGAAAATGAATTATTCATATAGAATGATTCTTCGGAAGACTGAAGTCTGACAGAACCATGTTTATACATGAAGATCAAAGAAATAGGAGTCTTTTCCAAAGTTTGGAAAACGATTTTTAGAAGTTCCTCCAGATTGAAGGTAGAAAGTTTTGGCAACTCAAACACAACAATAACAGAATCACAACTCTTCTACAGTGCTAAGTGTTACCAATTAGTAACTAAAAAAAAAAAGTTTATTTTCTTCTTCTTTCATGTGCAGGCACTATGACATGATTTTTTGGCATCCTCTGAAAAGATAACAAGGCGCATGCATGTGAAACACATGTGAAGAAAAAAATGGGAACCTCAGTAAATCAAAATATTGCAAAAATAGTATACCTGGATATGGACTAAATTTAAGCTAATCCCCCAATTTTGCCTGTAATATCAAGCCAATGCACAGGTTTTTTCCCCACCACCATGCTAAAAAAAATGTTTAACCATTTTTATAGAAATACACAATTACTCACACTCTCTCCACACTGGAAAAATACAGAGATATTTATCTCTTCAGGTATATCTTCCAGACATTAACAGAAGTGAGCTGGGAAAAGCGTGCATGAAATAAGTAATACATAGTTTGCTGCAAAATACTACATCAAGACTTATAAACATTTTATACTGGAAATGTAGTTAACATTAATCAGACTAAAATTGCCATCAATACATCAAGCTTGTTATACAAGTCGACATGAGTTGTAGGATTTCCGAATCTTAAAGAAGTCTCCAAACTTTTCAGACTTGGTATGAAATTGTGCAAGACTATCCCAGCAGGCACCTGCACTTAGAAGGTTCAAAGAGAAACATACCTCACCATGTGAAAAACCAAAAACAAACCAAAAAAACCCCACACATATACCGGCATGTCATATACACACTTGCTACATATATCTACTTATGAAAAACAGCGCTGATTTTTAAAAAAGCGTGCATAAACAACACAATTTCACAAGCATCTAAGGAAAAACTGAGTGCTTCTGTGAAGGAATATTATATTCTTACTAACCACAAGGTGATGCTATTGCATTACTATTACTATTACTATTGATTACTATTGAACTTCCACATCTTTTATTATGAAGCGGATAGCATGCTAAGCACACGCAACAGAGCACACTACAAACCTGTCAGAAACCAGAGAGGATTACTTTCTCTCCATATCTTAGAGACATATTTGAATAGGTTAAGCTGACTTCATTTCCATGCCTATCTCAGCATTTTCATAGCCAAGTTCAGAATTACAGTTCATGAAATGCAGCTTTTCCAACCAGGATTTGCATACATGCTCAGAATCTCATTTCTATGTACATATTAAGACCAAAATTAAATCCACTTTATCTAACTTTCATTTCATAATTCAGAATAACTATACAAGTATTTAAAACAGGCCTGTAAATACACAACACAAAAGACTAGAACACATTTGAAGTCATAATTTATAAACCCAGATACTTCTGACATTTATCTGCCAAGTTTAAATGAATTAAGCTTTCAAGCAACAACTAAGGCAGTCAATTCCGTATTTAACATTTATTTATGTATTTTTAATTTGCTGGAAAAGTCCATATTTAACATTTATTGATGTACTTTTAATTTGCTGGAATTTTATACCTATACATAAAACCTATAACTAAGGCAATGGGCAGGGTAACAGCTACAAAAACGAAGTGGGAAAATAGAACATTTTTACTATTGAAAGCAGGTTAGGAGTTGACACCTAGTAGTGAATCACGTTTACCTCAGGAGTGAACAATTTTCTAGCTTTAATACATTTACCAACCAAATACCTGTCTCTGCAGATCACCTTCACTTCTGAATATACATCCACTGACACAGAACACAATGTCCCAAGCAATCCTGTTGGGGACAGGATTGCTCCTTTTGATCTGAGGCCAAACATCACTTGAGACAGAGTACCTCTCCAACATTGCTCTTTTTATACAGTATTAACTCACTGAATATGGCTTCTACAAAACACTACAGAACAGAAGACAAGTCCATTCCAAAGCCTCCTCAACCTAACTCAGCCTATTGTTAGCCAGAACTGAGAGCCAAAGTTCCACTCTTAGTCTGCTTTACCTTGCAACTTAAAAAAGAAAACTGTACCTAAAATTAGGTTTCTTCATAGCCTATATCTAACCCTATTTTTTTAAGCATCGACTTTGAATGAAAACTGCATTATATTTCTGTTGGTTTTAGAAGGATCTTAGGGTATCACCTGTCAACCAACTCACACATTTTTCTCTGAACCCTTCTCTTGCCTTGGCTTTCTCTGTTTTTCGTTTGTTTGTTTGTTTAACTATTCCTTTATAGTTCTCCTAACTGTTTCTTCAAAGCACTGTTCAACATACCCACAAAATTACTGGGGAGAGGAAAGAGGAGGGAACTTCCTTTTTGTCCTTCATTCAGAGAAAATCCAGTTCAAGGGGATCCTGGTCTCAGGGCTCCTGGTCATTCAGGTAACAACAGAGTGCAACTCCTTTTGCAGCACAGAAACACTACATATCCACATACTACCTGATTTCTACTTCAGGTGTCATTATTGCACCTCTCTTTCCAGATGTCACCTTCAAACAAACAGCTAAGAGTCAGTACACAATACTTTTGGAATATACATAATTAAGGGAATCTCTCTGGCCTGGTTTTTTACGAGCTGCTCCTACAAGTGCCAGATAGAATCTGACAAACAGCACCATAACGTAGTACAACAGGTAGGTTTGCTGTCAGAACTTGGCTATCAAGCTGCCAGGTAAGGATTGTTTTGTGTCATTTGGGAAGACTGTTTGGCACTGTCCCAGGCTTGGAGCTGACCAGGTGGGAAGAAAGCAGGGCTCATTTTCTACTGCTTGACCAATGCCCAGACCAACTGAGACCAGTCTGCCACATGTTAAAGGGAGCTATAAAAGAAGAAAATAGGAATATAAAAAAGAAAAAGTCTCACTGAATAAAAGAAAATGAATCTCTTAGTAGCAATCTGTCCTCTGCATACATCATGCACATGAGTAAATGGCTATCAGCTGTTACAGAGCCTCTGCACTACACTTCTTTAAAAGCATAAAGGATAACTATAGCTGAATACATTCTCGATTTTCCTCAGATGCTATTATCACATTGCTAAGATATAAGTCAATTCAATTGCCAATTAAAAGATTTAAATTATTAAATTATAATTGTATAACTGTTTGTATTCCTGTGGAGCAGGTAGAAGTTGGATATGTTAACTCAGCACTTCCATACCATAATACTACTAGGTTTCTTTGAAACAGTTTTGAACAGCTTGACTGTACAAAAAGTGTAAAAAAAAGTTCATATTTTTATTATTTTGTACACATTTAATATCTAAGGGATTTATGCATCCCCGTGCAACTCAACTTTGAAAATTACTTTTTCATGAAATACAATGAAATGAGTTATCTGAAGAATAAAAACACACGTTCTAAAACAGATTATAAGGCCATCTCTTAGTATTAAATGATTTTTTCCTAACCAAATGGCAGAATTTCCAACAATGGTAATTTTTCATATGTGGCATGGAATGAATAATGTACAATGCACAACTCGAAATCCCATCATCACTGGGTTCCCTGAGAGCGTGTAGTCTCCGTATTATACAAATTATTTTCATGTTCACAGGCTATTAGATGTCAGACTGGAGCAGGTAAGACGGAAATGAAGTCAGAAGTGAGCTGTTGGGTGTCCCTGATTTTACTAACTCAGCTTTGCACTACAGTGCACTACCGTTGTGCACTGGTAATTCGGTTTAGGTATTTACCATAAAAATCAGCCACAACACATTCCATCAAAAGAAGAAAGACTGTGACACAGTAAGTGTAACTTTATGAAGCTATATTCTTCAGAAATACTCTGCAGTATTTAGCTATTTGGAGGATTTTTTCCCTAAACCAGAAAAACCCTAGCCTACCACACACTTGCACCAAAAAAATTCCAGCCGTCATCTCATGCAACTTTTCAACTATTAATACATCATACCTGCAAAACACTTTCTAGTTTGGTTCTTTCCTTAAGAAGCAATTCATATTCACTGTTGCAAATTCTGCGGATATCATCCTTCTCACTTGCAAATCTTTGCTGTTGTTCTTTCCAATTCTGCTGAGTAACATGAAATGTTTTCTCAGTCTCTGCCACCTTCTGCTGAAGTTTTTCATTCAATACTATTGTTTACAGAAAAAGAGAAAAGGAAGACAAGTAGCGCTGCAAACCATGTTCAGAAAAAAAAAATGTATAATCATTGTCAGTTCTTCTGTGTATTGTGATATCCTGTGGAACACTGGAAGATTAACACTTCCAGCACCGGAGACCACCACCTTCACTACAAAGAAACAGTCAAATTTTGTGTTCCTATAGCATCTTTCACACAAGGACATAGAAATGCTTTAAAGATTTTTAGAAATTAAAACTCTTGGAAAAGAATAAAAACTTGAGATAACTCTTTCAAGTGAGGTCTCTATAGCATGGAGGACTTAATTTCAGATTCCTACAACACTTGGCCAGCTTATTTCCAAATGTCTATTTCATATAGATATTAGTCTGTATCAATTAATTTTGAGCTCATTTTAAGTGACAGTAAAGATAGGCACTTGCCCCATGAAAGGGACTATAGGAAAACCTAAGGCAGGTTGGGCTAGAGAGCAAAGGCTTAGCTTTTCCAAAGAAAGCTCTTGCTCTCTTACTCTCAAGAGATTTAAGTCTTCAGCCCAGCAATTGCCCTGAGATAGGGGAACATTGTATATACTCTTATGCGAAAGTTTAAATGCTGCGGAAACCTTCATTACCTATGTCTATTTATTTAAGTTTGACTAGGAACTTTGCTTTATTTTACAAACTGGCTTTCAGATGAAAGTACTTTGTATCAGCTTTTGATTTTGCTGAATACAACTAGCTACATTGGCATTTAAGTGATCACCACTTTCTAACAGATTTTTATTTCAAACTCATCCCAGTTTTCTGAAATTTCTTCCCAGTCTGAGAAGGATAAAATGAACAGAAGAGGCACATTAAGACAACACAGAAAATCAGTGGACATAATGATGGGAAAGGACTGCCAGACAGCAGAAAGTCAAGCCTCACTGAGAACAGCAGAAAAACAATTTGGAGGAAATAGTGAAGAAGACAAGCCACAAATGAGGCCATCTGTCCAAGGAGCTAAGTCGGGGTCACATCAAAGCACCAAATGAGGTGGGGAAGGCTCCAAGTGACCAGGGAAAACAAGTGGTAAGTTATAAACTGCAAAAGAATTGAGAAGCAACGCCATGATGATTTGACTTCTTCGGCACCTGTCACAGAAAAAAAAAAAAGTTTGAGGAATTTCAACCAATGTATTTTACTGTCAGTTAACAGACTTCTAATTACCGATTCTGGTACTGAAAGAAACTAACACCCACACATACATTTAGGAAAACATCCCTTGCCTCTGCAAAACCTCTCCTACCCGCTTTTTGTTCTCCAGTTCCCTCACCACACGTTAGCCCAGTCCTTTCAGAGAGGTGACAGGCAGTGCAGCAGACTAGGGTCACTGTGCTGTGGTTCCTCTGTCAGCAACAGTCCCTTTTTGCATCCTGCCTCTTGGTGCCTGCACAGCTGTCACTGCTTTGGCCCCAGCCCCTGCTCAGGCTGCTGCTCTGCTCCTGTCTCTCCTGCTGTTTCTTTTTTTCTCTCCTTTTTCTCTTCCTCTCGGCATTTACCACCCTTTCTGAAACACGTTTTGGCAGAAGCACCATATGCACTTTCTGGTGGCCAGTCTGGCGCCATTGGTGGCCAGTGGTGGTGGGTGGGTTTGCCCATTGTGGAGCTTGCCGGGACCAGCTCCAGGCAGACCCAGACCTCTTTCCTCCCGCACAGGTTGCCCTGCAGGCCCGCACCCACCACCACCACCCGCCAGCTGTGCCTGACACAGCAGCCAATGAGTTTTCTAAATCATAAAGTGAATCACAGAATGACATTTATTCTAAAACACACACACAACTCACTTCTAAACTGGCAAGCAAACCAGCAGTAAAATGAGCATGCACAGAAAGAAACACAGCTTTCCTCTAAGTGAGAAACGAGCAGTTCAAGTCTTCAGCTTGCAATCGCAGGAGAATTTCCAAAGGGAAAAAAAATGCCTTCTTCTAGTTTGCAATCCGTTAGATTTTTTTTTTAGGTGTTCTCCAAAGGAGTGAAAATTCAGTTCTCTAATTATCTTAAAAACACCTGGTACTTTAAGTACATGCAAGTTTCCAAGTCTCCTTCCATTCCTGGAAGGACAAAATCTCCGCAAGGAGTGCTCTAAACTCTTCATGGAACATCAAAGGTTCAGCAAACTCACAAATGCATCTCCTGTACTAGATTAAAAAGGTATTATACTTACTTAGGTCATTAAAAATGCGCCTCACTTACTTGTAAGAATGAGAAATCTCTCTCTCTTTGTTGAGGAGGATCAAGAAAATCTGAGTTTCTGAATACAAAACTAGGAGGAAAAAAATGTCTAGGTAAAAACTTTCCCTTCCACATACTACTGTCACAACATGTATGTTCCATTACCTATAAAAAGAGATATATGTTCCATTACCTATAAAAAGAGAAACAAGGATGATGAGAAGAAAAGAAACCAGACATGAGCAATGAGAAGCTTGAAACCTTTGAAAAGAAGAAAGAAAGAAGCAGTATGATGAGAACTTCTGGAAAAAAGTTGTGGAAATAGTGCAAGCAAATGAACAGGAATGGACTTTTTCTTTTCTTTTTTTCCCCTGAAATGAAAAAGGAAGAACTGCTGGACATAGTGATAACCAGGATGTATAGACAGCCACCATGATTACAATTCTGTACAAGGACAGCAGTGAAACAGGGAACAACAGAAGGTAAGGGGCAAGAGGAAAACAGGTTGATAGGTTTAGCAGGTTAGTTTTAATTCACACATGAGACAGCAAGAGTTTTGTAAACTCTTATGAGTTTACAAAAGCAGATGGATAAGAGATGGGAAAGATAAGAGGGATCCAAGAAAAACAGCAATAACTAGAAAATATAATTAAGTCACTGCTTCTCATTTGTCTTCCTGACTTGCAATGGACTTAGCCTTTGTTCCATGTTTGCTTTTTTGAAACTTACCTTGCAGTTCCACAAGTTTGTTTTTTGCATCACTTAACTCCTCTTCTGCAGCATATCTTTTCAGACGAGCATCTTTTCTGGCAATTGCCAATTCATATTCCAGACTTTGTCGAACAGCCTCTCCTTTCTCAACTTCTGACCGTAATTTGATTATCTGGCTTTCATAATTGGACAGCTAGAAAATAAATTTGTTTCAGAAAACTAGCAACCATGCTCCTTTGAAAAAATGCAACATTACAGAAATACACCTACAGAATAATTTTAAAAGATACTTTGAATTGCATTTGCAGCTGCCTTCTTATTCCACTTGAATTTGAAATACAGTCTTGCAAATACACATTTATGCAGATTTTAAGTACTTTTACTGTTTTTTATGCAAACTGTTCCTATTCTTAGATGAATTTCATGTACCTTAAACATACCCCTCCATTCTTCCAAAAATACACTAACTTAAGGAAAAAAGTCATAATACTGTCATCTTCCCGCACCTCAAAGGAAAAACTGCAGCAACAGAAACATTGTATTCCATAGGCAATTTTCTGGCAACTTTCTTTAAATTTAACACTTCGAAAAACAGTCATGTTGGCATGCTAGACTATCAGACATCTAATAAATCACAAGTATAGGTATGAACATAAAATTCAGTCCAATAATGTTCAGTAGCCAAACAGAATGCTATTAAATTTAACAGACAATAAACTAAGAATGGAAAATGCTTCAAAAAGCGATCTTATCCAGATTAAGAAACATAGTCTAGTCATTGCTGCCAAAAACTGGGTCCAGAAAATCAAGTCCAAGCTATTTCAACACAGGAAGGTGGAAAGTAAAATACGTATTTCTTCAGACCATCTACAAAGTAGCCCCTTCACTTCAATAATATCATGTGTAGGTAACTTGAGCATTTCCATTATCTGTAACTATACAGTAAATGGATAGGGAAAAAAAAACCCCGTCTCTCAAGTAGTTTATCTACTCAAAATGCAACCTGACTTTGTGGTGCAAACCACAACAGCAAAACGATGCAGAAGATCCTTGTGAACACCCAACTTTCAAATTCTCAATGTAAGAGGTGATTTGTTAGGATTTTTTTTTAAATCCAGGTAATTCCAGGGATCCATTTTATAGAACTACCCCACAGTTGATGGGGCAATGGGAAAATAACGAATTAACTTCAGCACAAGAGCAAGTCCTTGTGGGAGAAGGAGGAATCTCTTAACTTGGGTACACCCCCCAATAATAAATTGATATGGAACAGCACACTTGATTTATTGGCTGGATTTAGCCCAAAACAGATGAATGAGCACCCACATCAACCGCACCTAGCTAAGAGCAGATATTACTATTATGTTACCCATAGTAGCAATAATACTTCCGCACCAGCACAGTTTAAACCAGGACATCAGCTGTCAGGTTGGCATTGGCATTATCAAGTGTGGGAAGTGATCCTAGTAACAACAAATCCAAAGATGATTACAACTACTGCTGTATTCAGTGCCCACCTTTCCTTATGTATACTAGTGGGAAAGCTGACATTCAAGCTAAAGAAAAAATTAATTAAGTATTTTCTTACTACTACTTCATTTCAATTCTAGTTTGCTACAACAGCATCAGGGAAAACCTTTGTAATGCGGGTAAATTATTTCCCTATGAATGAAGTTCTCATTAACAAGTATGAAGTTATTGACGAACACATCACCACTTTTGTACATCATACATAGTTACAGTTATTGAAAACTGCAAATTTGCACAAGCTGAGACATTGCAAGACCACTAAAGGATATCCTAGCCGGATTTGGTGTACACACACAGAAAAATACTGTACTAGGTTTATGATTTGCAAATGATTTCTCCAGAATTAAAATGATATTCCAATACTCCGCAAAAAAACGTAAGAACTAAACAAGATCTTTTTATGAGGCTAGATTCAAGCAGTGGCTTTTATTTATTTGTGTCACCAGGCAATTTTATGTAACAAACTACTGACAATGGCAGTGACTCCTTTCCCTGCAGAAAATTTGCACTCTGCTTGGTGCAACTTCAACTCTTAACAACGCCAGCAGAGGTGCTAAGAGTTCCTAGAACAGGTATGAGAGGTCTGTACAGCATCACCTCCCCTGTTATTTTTCAGCTAATGACTGTGCTTCTGACACAACATGCAAGAGTATTATTTTAATGAAACAAGATTACATTTATTCCAAGAGTAAAATAAAGAAAACAAAAAAGTCCTTACTTCTTGATTGTGTTTAATGGTTAAGTCTAATTTTTCTTTTTTAGCTTGACAGAGTTTTCTTCTCAGATCTTCAGCAGTGTCCACTTCTGATTCATTGCTATTTTGTAGTAACTGTGACTCACACTTGGCATTATGTAAGCTGCAAAATATGGATGTTTTCAAAAAACATGAGTATTCCTTTTAAGTTGTAATGCTCCCTTATTTCGATGATCCAACTGCGAGCCCAAAGTTCTAAACATTCACTTAAGTAAAATTATGCCACGCAGTTGTCATCATACTTCTGCTCTTTGAAGAAAGGGTTATATAGAATCACTTATCGTGCAAGAGATGAGAGATGTAGCAGCAGGAACTTAAAACAGATATTCCCTTTGGATTTCCCAAAGTTAAATTAAGCATAACATGTTTTTTATTATTTTTCATTTTCTTTATTATTGATTCAATAAACTTTCAGGATGCTTAAAAAAACATCATTCCAATCACTTACATTAAAATGACTAGCAGGTTTTTGTTTGTCTCCTGCAGTAAGGCTCATTTTTTAACATGGATTACCACCTCAAAACCACCTCTGTCACAAAACAAATGCATATGGGGGGGGGGGGGGAATCATTTTTCCAAATTTTTTCTTCAAAGACATATACATTTAAACTACACACAAGCAATTGATCACAAACACAATACAAATTAAAGGTCTAGTCCTCTAAAATACCCAGTATCTTCATTTCCACTACTATTTTAGTTAAAAGAAAATCTACTTGGCCGTTAGCAGAACCAGCCCTTGAGCACCACAAGCAATATTAAAATAATCAAAACAAGCTTTTATATGTAGAGTGAAAACGAGTATAAAAATAGATATTTAATTAAAATAAACTAGTTTAATAATCTTATGTGCAATTATTGTAACTTCAAACTGGGCAAATTCTAATTTTTTTCAGGAGTTAAGAATCAGTTTTCACATTATTTTATATATGTCAGTTTTCACGATATTTTATATATGTAAGACTGGCTGCAATAATTAGTTGCTCCACACAAAAGCACAAGTTGTCAGGACAACTACATATGAAATATACTGCAAAGAGAAAGATGATTAAATTAACCGCAAGGTTGGCATCATTTCATAGAGAACTGAAAATACTAAAATAGCTTACCTTTGTCTACATGAAGTCTTAAGTATTAGTTACAGAAATGACAGTCTACCGGGATTTAATTATTTGTTTTTTTAAATAAAAAATGACCACTTTACCCCTAGGTTTGTGCACAGGCACCATAAACATTTTCCATGACTGAGAACTCTACCTTACGATATACGTTTTCTCACGTAAGTTGACTAACAAAAAAGACATAAATGTCATCAACAAGGGGAACAGTAATTTAGATTAAGTGTTGCCTTTAAAGACATTACTAATAACAAAGGATGAAATTTCAGTTTTTTAGCCGCAGCCTACAAATATTTTATAATTTAATAAATACTAAGTCTATTTCCATTTAAAAACAAGATAGACTTCATCTATGAGATCAGAATAATTGTATGTCATCAGTAATTGTTCCACAGGGTGCCATGTACTTAACACATTTTATATATTTAATAAATGTAGGAGATAAGGATCGTTAAAACCTGCATGTACTGCAAGAAAACCACAGGCTCATTATTAGCTTTCAGTGTTTACTATGGGAGCCATACCCAAAGGAACCAACGTAACTCAAAGGGCAAAAGATCAGCAACAAGGTAAGTAAAATCATGTATCGTTATTTTATGCAACTCTTAGCTACTGCAGTAAGAAGATATGGTGGTAAGTCAAGCAGGAAATAATATGAATCTGAACACCCAGAGCATCTGTGAACTGTATAAAAGCTTGTTTGTGGACATCATAAAATAGGTTTGGGAGACCTTTATTTTTCTGTGGCTGGGAAAAACAAAGATGAAAGAAAGGCAAATCATCTAATTCAGAGATGATGCAAGAAGTATCAATCTCAACAGAAGACAGCTAAAGGCCAGATAGCACCACAGTTAGTAAAGCATGGGTTAGGGAGAAAAACAGAACCCAGCTGAAAACTGGGGAGGACTAGGGCAAAGAAACAAGGGTTATGGAATGGGTAACCATTTTGTCAGTTTGCGGGCAGTGGGGAGGTCATTTTGCTTCTTTAAACCTGGTGATATTTAATACTTCTTGCATGGAGAGCACACTGAATGCAAGCAAGGGAATGAGTACTTTTTGTAAAGTAAACAAAAAAACACCTTTAAATCTTTAAGTAAATGACATAGGTCTGTATGGCAACCAGCCTTCAAGAAAACCGTTCCTTCCAACTCCTCTACTAATTATCCAGGAAAAAAAAGGGTACAATGGAGATATCTACACCATAAGTGGAAAATTTAACTATGTGATTAACTGTTCTGCTTAACTGGACCAGTGGGGGGCGGGGGGAAACAAACAAATAAACCACAAACAAGTTACAAAACATCACAAGTAATAGCAAATTAGGGACATTTTAGAAATGAAAAATGTGCGTAAGAGCATTAAGACACAAGAGCACAACAGTAACTACTTGGGAAAAAAGCATTAAATACCTTTCCAAAATAGCATTTTCTGCACAGCCTCTAAACTCAAAATGGCATTACTGAAAAATTAAAAATATAGAGCAGCAAACCCTATTTTTGGTCTTAGCATAGAATCAAATTGAATCAGCTACTTTTAAAAAAAAAAAAAAACACCACAATCCCCCCGCCGAGGGAATATTACTATGTTAGCCACTTGATTATTTTATTTGTCTACTTAAACATTTTCAAGTAAAATAGAGATTGGTCTTAAGAGTTCTTCTTTCTGTGATATTTTCTTTAATCATCACAGTGTCGCCAGCAGATACAGTACTTCATGAAAGCTTCGTACTACCTATTGTAGGAGATTCTTCCTTCCATATTCATACTACAAGTACAAGTGTTACAAGCATAAAGCTCTAGGAAGCTTAAATCAAAGACAAAACAACCTCACAAAATCCCTGGAAAGTTTCACAGCATGTACGATTTGCAGTCTAACAGGAATTCAGAGAATGCTTTGTACTTCTATTTTCATCGATCATTGGTTTTCAACTAAAATACATATTTTACCAACTACAGCTTTTATCTAAGACACCGTTTCTAGTAGTACTTTAAGATTCTTCAAGAAAGCATATAAGAAGGTGAAATAGCTTTTGAGTTCTACATTGCAGAATGACTGTTTGTAACCCAAAACTTTAAATTCACATTCACCTCACAAGTCAGCTAGCTACAGTGATCACAGAACATTGCAGAAAAACAGTTTTTCATCAGCTTTTCTTCTACATCTGGCAAAAAATGTACAGTAATTTTGTAACAGAGAGAAACTTTCTTTCATTTATTACCTAACAGTGGAATCTTGCTAAACTTCCCCAGCTGAAGGAGTAGTCTGCAGTCTGATTCCTAACCAAAGTTCATATCCATGGAAATTTGCTGTTCCTATGTATAATTGGCAGTTTTGTATAATTAGACTTTAAATAGTGACAAATAGCTCTCACAGCTAAGATAAACAGAATGAATTAAAGCTTACTCTAATTGTGCCAAAGATCAAATACATATCAGGTTATAAAAAATAAGAGCCATGTGCAAGACTTAAAGCTGACCCCTAGCACCTCAGCTAATGCAGAAAACCATTCTGTAACTCCAGGTCAGGGTTCCTAACTGCAGACCAGAACTCCCTCTACCTCTAAGTCACGTCTCCTACGGTCGTGTGAGAATTCTTGCACATCAGATGGCCAGTATGCACGCCTCCAAGTAAGTCTTTTCATCTAATGACTAGGTTGACATGGCACAGCTTGCATGTATCACACTGCATCTGGTTCTTCTTCAGCCTGAGTTACATAATTTCAGGGGTCTAGAAACTAAGCCACAAAAACCATGAACCATATTACTAGACTTAAAAATACAGAAGTGGAGCTCACCATTTAGCTTTCGTGACAGCGCAGCCAACTGGAGAGGACAAACTCATGATGTCCAATATGCAGCTTTTTAAGTCTATAAACTCTGCAGAATGAACATCATCTTTGACCACATATACTTTTACTTGACAAGCTTCAAAGATTACTCTTTTCCATATCATAAAAACATTAAAACCTGTAACAGAGACATGCTTTAGTTTATTTGGCAACATAATAGAAGAATCATTTGTTAATACTCACTAACAGGTACCAAACAGTTTTACTACTATGTCATGTAAACAATTACCACCAACTGTAATTTGACATCAGTTTTAGTCAGCAAAGCGAATTGTGCTGCTAGCCCTCTAAGCTTAAATGTTGTAGACGGGAAAAAAAAAAAAGTATTTTGTAGAACATCCACTGCCAGGGTATTCAGAAGGATGTCAACACATAATGTCATGTTTGCGTAGATTGTTCATCTACATTCTCTACTTTCCTAAGAGGATCACAAATTCCATTCCTCTTCAAAATAATTCTAAGGGAGATAAATGCATGTACTGTGATTTTTTAAGTAGGTCGATATCCAAGGTTTACTGTCTAATAGCAGCCTTTAACATAGCAAGTCTTCTGTTTTATAAACCTGGAATTTTCTGCTTGAACATATTTTTATTGTCTTAGATACATCAGCAATATTTAGGGGTATACAGGAGGAATATTAAATTGAACTACAACTCAGCTCATCTTCAAAAGAAACTCACTAATTTAGTGTTACTGATAAAAAAAATCAATACAGATAGCATATTTGTAACATAGACCTTAAAAAAACTCCAAAATTTACTTCAAGTCGAATAGCAAACTCATTCACGAGTTCTTTCCATTAACTAAAGCAAGGCAACATGAAGAAAAAGCTGTATTCAACAGTCAAGATTAACGAGCCATGAAGGCTTGCTTTTGAACTCCACAGCAGATGGACATCCATACTAAAGTCCAAAACAAGAAACTAGCCTGGACTCCACCTTTATCATCTCTGGCTTGCAGCCACATGTTTGCCACAATCTATTTCTGTCGAACTGAACACAGAACTACCTGATGTAATATATTAACTGTTTTTCTTCATTCCAGTAGCTAATAATGTGCACTAGAAACATGGAGAAGAAAAAATGCATTTCTGCTTCAAACTATAATTCTAATAGAACACGCAGCAAGAATAAACCTATTACTTCTAAAAAACTTTTTTTTTTTAACAGAAAAGCGTAACAGCTGGTGCCCAGGGTTATCATACTGCTTTATATTCAAACATGCAGTTATTCCAAAGTATCTTTAAAATCAAGTGGAGTAATATGGGAAGAAAAGCACAATGAAGGTTAACAGTTTGCTTCAGGTTCTTCATACAGAATATCTAGATGTATCATTTGTGATTTTTAAGATCTACCTGCCAGAATTCGCATTGGTACATGTGTTCATAAGCCCCAAAACACATAACCACCATACAACTGTCACTCACACTCCTAGAGAAAGCAACACAGCTTTCTTTCCATCTTGGCTGAGAAAATAGCTGAAGACCTCATTTTCAAAGCATAGACAAGTCTGTGGTACAATTGCTAGGCACATGTTAAGGCCCATTAAATTATTAGTAACCTGCAAACTGAAAACTCCAACTTTACATGACAGAGCAACAATCCTGACAGCGTATTTGCAGTATTGCACTCAATAAAGATCAGTTGCTTGGATAAAAAGAAATTGTGATATCAGGGTATGGGAAACTATACTTCTAACAATTGTGCCCAATGTTCACATTAAGATGTAGCTCTGAACACTGAGGAACAAGTTTTTCATACCACGCTTTTAAGCTTTATTGCAATCTACACCAAAATCTCATAATGAACAGTAGGAAAAAAATATAACTAAAACACTTTCTCAGAAATCTGTTTTTTCACCTCAAGAATAGAACTCACTAACTCTACCCAACAACCAATAGCTGCAGTGAAAAAAACACTTAGTCTCAAAACACAATCAAGAGGTACTCTGTCACATCGGCATCATTCTGCAGTTTTAAAACTTCCTGAAATTACTCTGAAATTACGTAGGGGAAAAAAAAACTCTAAAGAACATTTTCTGGGAATGTTACTGATTTTGAATGTGCAACCTGTTAAAATATGTATCAATAGCTAGTTTATTAGCACAGAAATGGATACGCTTCAAAAGCATGCTATTTTGCTCATGAAAAAAAGTATTCAAGGGGCATGGAATGGTTCGTAGAAGCCTCATAGTTAAACAAAACAGTATAAGAAGTGTTCATTTGAGGAATTAATATGTTCGATGGGTGTTACCTACAAAACTTGTCATATTCTCCTCATGAACTTCTGAATATGCTTAACTAACTAGCAAGGCCATTGATTTAGATTGGATATAAGCAAGAAATTCTTTACTGTGAGGGCAGTGAGGCACTGGAACAGGCTGCCCAGAGAAGTTGTGGATGCCCCATCCCTGGAAGTGTCCAAGGCCAGGCTGGACGGGGCTTTGAGCAACCTGAAGGAAGGTGTCCCGGCCTGTGGCAGGGGGCTTGGACTAGATAATCTTTGAAGGTCCCTTCCAACCCAAACCGTTCTGTGATTGAGACTACTCAAAATAAATCTAACCATGACCTTAAGACGTACTACTTTGAAACATACAAAGCCAGGCATAACTAACGTGTCTCCACTGGAACCTGTAAAAACTCATCAGCAGCTGTTTGAGCTGAAAAAATCACCAGATTTCCTTAGACCAAAATTCTCACGCAAGCTAAAAACCAAAGCGACACCATCACCTCACCACGCTTACACCAAAGGTGTCACGTCTTTAGGCGCAGGCGGTACCAGCGGCTCGGGGGCGCATCCGGCGGCCCGAAGCGGAGCGCGGCGTGCTGGCGGCTGAAGGCAAAGCGCCG